TAACACTAGGCTTTTCCAGGGGGTTGTTGAGATCTTGTTCCCACCTAGAGGTGAATGTTCATATGTGCAGTTTCTTTGCACATATGAAACATCATTGTATTATTAATTGATGGGATTCCGTAACAATGCCACTATTAGCTCACTAAGTTCCTTATCATCTGAAGAGATGCTGAAGGTCATGTAGAGGTAACAAATTCTTTAGAGACAAGTCCATCAGTGGTTACATCAATTGGAAGTGAATTTTTTACATGCAGATGAAAAGATGCTTATTTTCACTGGAATTAATGATAAGGAACAGCCTTGTTCTCTTGCCTATGATGGATACTGTACAAGCAGGATACTGGAGGCAAAGGCTGAGCCACAGCAAAATCTAAACTGGGTTCCCATAAATGGTGGAAAAAGACTAGATCTGTGCAGATTAAATGTAGAGAGTAAAGAAGAGGACCTTGGTGGAGTCCCAGGGTGAAAGACCTTTCATATCTCTGTCAATATCATCTTCCTTAGCCTCCCCAGTAAGGATGTCACTGGAGTGATTTGGATTTTGTTCAAGGTTTTCTCAAATATGAGCCTCACTAATTAACCACATCAAGAAATCAAGTCCACAGGAAAGCTGAAACTAATTTTATTGAGATTGACTATAATAACAGAATCTTGCAAATCTGAGATGTGTACCTCCTCCCACTTCTTATATTCCAGTGAGTTAGGGAGGTATCTGTCTGAGCTGCTTCCAAATGTTATTTGGATGTTATATACTTAGAAAATGTTTTATCTTTTGTCACTTTGTCACTTTGGCAGCACAATTTGCATATCTCCATCATGATTAGAATTCATCCAGTAATCAGGATTCATCTGTCATAACTCCCTGACTCCTGGTTTTTTTTATTTTAACTTTCGCCAGACACATTTTCCAAAATATATTTTATTTTGGGTTTTTTTAAAAGTCAACGGAGAAACCAGACAAAAACTGGGATTTCAGTCAAAAACTTGACATCTAAACAAATGTTTCAAAAGCCTTTCAGCTGTACTTTAAACTACCTCAGAAGAGTCAGAACTTAATGTTACATTCAAGACACCTGAGTATTAAAAAAAAAAGAGGTGAAGGTAACTTCCAAAAGAGTTTTGATCAATTCTTTTCTTGCTGGTCAAATTACTTATCCACCTGTTATTTCTATCAGCTACCTTGTGATTTCACTCTCTAGTAAAAAGAAGCCATTTTGTTTTATTTGAGAGAGAGATAAAAAAAGGCAAATCAATATTGACTGAATTTGTGCATTTATCAAATCATAGTTTGGTTATCTGCACAAAAAGTCACAATTGACTAGTTTCACAGCACTCATTAAGCCAGGGGTCTTCAAACTTGGCCCTTTTATGACTCGTGGACTTCAGCTCCCAGAATTCCTCAGCCAGCATGCCTGGCTGAGGAATTCTGGAATTTGAAGGTCACGAGTCATAAAAGGGCCAAGTTTGAAGACCCCTGCATTAAGCCATCAGCTAAAGCAGAGTTCCCCAACTTTTTGGGGTTGGCAGACCAGAGTGGGGGGAGGGGGGAAAGAAGGAATGGTTTCATAGGAGGGGTAAACATATGCATTTGCTCACATACATGGGGTCGTGAGCGCTCGCACACAGGGCCACAAGCACCTACAATGCTCATGTTGATGTAAGTGTTCAAGCGTGGGACTGCAAGTGACACTGAGACACTTGCAGTGATGTGTGCACTCACACATGGGGTTATGAGCACCAGCGATGCTCGCACAAGTGAGGCCACAAACGCCCGTGAGGTCATGGCAACACTCACGCCAGTGAGACTGTCCACATGTGCACATATGCACACCAGCCAGATACACGGCCCAGTGGCTAATAGGCCGCAGTCTGGTAGTAGGCCACAGCCCACAGATAGGGAACCCCTGAGCTAAAGAAAATACTGGTAGTCCTCCACTTACAACAGTTCACTGACTGTTCAAAGTTACAATGGCATTGAAAAAAGTGACTTATGACCATTTTTCACACTTATGACCATTGCAGCATCCCTATAGTCACGTGATTGAAATTCAGACTGTTGGCAACTGATTCATATTTATGATGGCCACAGCATCCTGGGATCATGTGATCATCTTTTGTAACCTTCTGACAAGCAAGTCAATGGGAAAGCCAGATTCATTTAACAACCGTGTTATTAACTTAACAACTGCAGTGATTCACTTAACTGTGGCAAGAAAGATTGTAGATTGGGGCAAAACTCACTTAACAAATGTCTCACTTACCAACAGAACTTTTGGGCTCAATTGTGGTCATAAGTCAAGGACTACCTGTACATTGTAATATGCAAACTAGGTTACTATGTAATTCTGTTCTACAGTGTGCAGTTTTTAGAAACAGATATTTTAACAAAGTCTGAAAAAACACGAGCTACATTTTTCTCACAAAATTTTTTTAGCAATCTTTAATCTTTTTCCCTTAAAAAAAAAAAAAAAAAACCTCAAATGTCTTTTGTCTCCCAGAAAGTTTGGGAAGGATGAAGTCTCCCAGTATCATGGCTTAGAGAGCAACGTTGACCTGAAGACTGGCCTTAGTCCGTGGGGCATCCATACACCATCCATTACTCTGCAGGACTGGAGTCTCAAATGGATGTCTTCAGATGCCACAGCCTCACAAGAGGATGACAATCGTGATGAAAAACAGAACAAAAAAATGTACCCATGGGGTTTAGCGAGAAAAGAAGCTATACCTGCTTGGAGCCCAAAGGGGGCAGTAGATGCAACTGGCTGGCTACCAGGGTGGCGCGGGAAGCGGAGTATTGTGGTAGCAGATGACGCAGCTTTCCGAGAGAAAAGTAAGATGTTAACCGCGATGGAGAGGCAGAAGTGGCTCAACTCTTACATACAAAAGTTTTTGATGGTAAACTCGGATTAAAAATGAAGTAGCAGCACATAGGGGAAGGGGAATAACATTACGCATAATTAAAGTTAAGCTATGCATTGCCACACTCACGGACCCCCATCAGAGAACAATTCTAGCATGACAGAATGGAAAGACCCATAGAGGCTTAGACGCTGAATTTGCTCCTAAAGGCTTTCCGTGGAATCTGAAAGGCAAATCCTGGTCCCTGGGGATCTTAGTACTTCAAAGCATGCTCTCTTCACTACTTTCTCCCAAAATCAGAGCCACATAAGGTGTCCTACTCTATAGAGCAGATGTTTTTGCACATTACGCTAAACCATAATATGGGTTACTTTGTTTTGGTTTAACCTGGTTTGTAAATCCAGCCACTGAGATTTAACAACTGCTTACTTACGCATTAGCACAATGTGTGAATTTAGCCAATAGTGGTTCATTCAGTAAAACATGGTTAGATGAACCAGGACTTGGTCTAGGAAGCTAGTTTGCAAATAGTAAGAGGGACTTTGGCCGAGGCTTAATTCAAATTATACCCTTCACAAATTTCAGAGCATGTCATATGTGTGAATGGTGGGCCTGTAAATTGCTTTATTGGCTTGAGATTTTCAATACCTGTCCTAATAAAATATGAGATTTGTTTGCCTTATATTTTTTTTTGGCGGGGACATTTGTGAAAAATATGAACAGAACAGCAATGCTTTACAGAGAAAGTCTGAAGATGATTGTGGTTATCACCACATTTGTCAATATTTAAATATAGGTAGTCCTTGACTTTCAACACTTTGTTTAGTGACCATTCAAAGTTACAACGGCACTTGAAAAAGTGACTTGTGACCGTTTTTCATGTCGTGATCAAAATTCAGATGCTTGGCAACTGGTTCATATTTATGACAGTTGCAGTGTCCTGGGATCATGTGATCCCCTTTTGCGACCTTCTGGCCAGGAAAATCAATGGGGAAACCAGATTCACTTAACAACCTTGTGATTAACGTAACAACCGCAGTCATTCACTTTAATAACTGTGGCAAGAAATAACGTAAAAAGTGGCAAAATTCACATAACAGCTGTCTTGCTTAAAAACAAGAATTTTGGGCCCAATTGTGGTCATAAATCAAGGACTACCTGTAGTAATTTCCTTCTCCTTACAAACATACCATTTTTAATTTTAGGTGCAGTAAAAGAGCTCAGATGAGCTACTTCATTGCTCCTGTCTGGCTTCTCCTGACAGGAAAAACTCTGAAACCAACCTGAACATGCTCAGCATTCAGTTCGTTTAGCATTATATACAAACAGGAATCCTGGAATCTAGCTTTTCCCCAAGGTTTGCTTGTGGCTTATGACACTGGTTTATTAGAAACAAACCAAATTTCCAATAGACCCCTTAATACTGAATAAGCTGTAGGCTGAACTATCTGGTTTCATTAGCTTATTCTAGTCACCCAAATACTATCTATTCACAATTAGTGTCATAATGTAATATCTGAACACTGCCCTGCTATCTTTCAAATACTATTTACTGTTAATTCCTTGTATTTTTGCCATTTCTATTAATTTTATAATCGCCTTACCACACACATAAATTCTGTACTATAACCTATATGAATGACAAGAGGGATTTTTACCAAAACACTTACAGTGTAGACCAAGGGTGTCAAACTCACCATGTCATGTGACATGTCGGATGTATCGTGACTTTTTTCCCTCTGCCAGAGCTGGGGTGGGTGTGGCTTCCACGTGACGCATCTGGCCTGCGGACCAGCAGTTTGACTCCCCTGGTGTAGACTGTCTTTTCAGAGTCAATCAGTTATCTCTTTCCTTGACAATCTATAGTTTACAGTAGTGGTTCTCAATCAGAAATTCTGGCTCGGGGATTCTGGGAATTGAAGTCCACATATCTTAAAAGTTCCCAAGGTTGAGAAAAACTGGTCTACAGCATTAATGCAATGCACTTGCCAATTTTCTCATGGAGGGAGAAAGAGCACCTGCAATTTATTTCTGCTAATGTTACCACTGAACCAAACTCAGATTTAATCTGAGTCCACTCACACTGCAACAGCACTGGCCAAACAGACACATACTGGAAGCAAGGTAAGTTAGAAGAGAGAATTTATTCAGTAGACAGTTTACACAGCCTTTTCCTTATTGAATCGTGATACACAAATGTTGCCCATGCTGGCTGGGAATTCTGGGAGTTGAAGTCCACACATCTTAAAGTCGCTAAGGTTGGGAAACATTCTTCTACAGGTACCTTCAGCATGCTCTAGACCCCAATTTGTGACCTTCTCATAAAGGAACAAAAACACAGATCCCAAAGAAGTGTGCCAATGTCTGTTAAAAACATGAAGCTATAAGAGGAGATGAAAGTACAGTATTGTTGCGTATCCTGTAGGTGTTTGCATTGGGGAAAAGAATAAGAATGTACCCCAAGAAGGAGGATTATGGGGGCTGTGCAAGAGAATAAAGTACAGAGTAAATGGCAGCTTTAGCTAAAGGGTCACCAGGAGGATTAGCTAGATTAGAAGTGGATTCTTTTGAGCAAATTGCTGAATAAATGAGCAGCAGGAAAAACACAACAAAGGATCTGACCCACACTTGCGTGTGTGAAACAAAGAACGAACTGCAATGCTACAAGCAGTTCTAGAAGGAGCTGGCTGAAGAACACTACTATTGCATCGATTCTTCCGACATCTGAAGGGGCAGGTGTCCAATCACTCTTTGATCTAAAAAAGAAAAAGCACATTTTGAGATTTTATCTCAGCCCTGCCCATATAACGCCCAACTGACTTTGATTCTTAATATCCCATGCTATAACAAATCTAACATAAGATTCCCTCTGTCTGGAATCAATGTCTATAGATAAAATAATCAAAACATATTGTGAATTTATTATAAATCTCTATTATATATACATACAACGATACAGTATATACCAATACAGATTATCTATCTATCTATCTATCTATCTATCTATCTATCTATCTATCTATCTATCTATCTATCTATCTATCTTTCCATTTTCTTTAATTATCCTATCTTTATTTTTTTTTATAAATAACTCAAAGTAGTCAACATACTAATACTTCTTCCTACTCCTATTTTCCCGACATCAACATTCCTGTGAGGTGGGTTGGGCTCAGTTGTGGGATTAAAATATGTGAACAAGCGGTTCTCTGTGTGGATGCCACTTCCGGAAGTCCATTCTGGGCCTGGGCAACAAAAAATTAGCTACTGGTTCTGCCGAAGTGGTGCGAACTGGCTGGATCCCACCACTGGTTGGGCTGAGAGAGAGTGGCTGGAGCAAAGTCACCCAGCTGGCTTTTATGCCTAAAATGAGACTAGAACTCACCATCTCCTGGTTTCTAACCTGGTGCCTTCACCACTAGATCAAACTGGCTCTCCTTTCTCTGTGTTATTATGTAATCTTATTATAATCCTTTTATTTTATTTAAAACAAAGATATATCTAGAAATATATATTATCTATAAACAAACAGATAATTAGTGAGGTTGAACAACTATTACCCAATATGAATTTAGTAAAGGTTCCAAGCAGAATATGTTCTTTTTATGATATCAAAAAGAAATATACTTTTTTGAGTTTGATTCCAAAATAATCTATATTATTGTTTATATGGCTTAAAAAGAAAAGAAAATCTCCTAGAAATAATATAATTAAATCTTTTATTTTTCTGATTGCTCTTTAAATCATATATTGTAAATCTTTTGCCTTTTTTATTTTCAAATTTCCTGGCTTTTTTATTCCAACTGACAGCAGTGCCCATTGATGCAAGTTTTAAAAACCATACTTTAAATACTTCATAGTTCTGTAATATATATGTGAAGCCAATCTTGCTTAAATTTAGTTAAACATCTGATATATAGATATGATATCAGGCTCCAAAACTGGAAATTTTTAAGAAGAGATTGGACAGCTATTTGCCTGAAATGGTATAGGGTTTCCTGCCTGAGCAGGAGGTTGGACTAGAAGACCTCCAAGGTCCCTTCCAACTCTGTTATTGTTATTCTGTTATTTATATTCAGAGCTGTGAACATGTATCTTAATAAATTGCAGTATTTTATATACTCTAGAATTATATCTAATGAAGTAAACTCTGTTTTCATTTCAAATTTGATCTCAAAAATTCTCTGGATAATGCCATATACACATTATGAGGTCTCTTACCTAGAACACAATATTTTCCTAAAGATTTATCTCAGAGGCCAATGCTTATGAGAGTTCCTAAGCATTATAAAGATATTAATTCATCCCCACTGCAGTTTTCTTCTTCTCTACTTGTTATTCTTCATGGGCTAGATAGAAAGTGGAAAGCAGCCTAATACTGAAATAGAACAGGATTGTTCTTGACTTTTATTCTTCAGAGTTTTAGAGCACTTTAGCCTGCCTTGTCTGTGTCACTTGTCTGCAAAATAGCTGATAAATAGTGTTATATCAGCTGTACTATTTTGGGGACACAAGTTTATAGGCATGGGTTTAATGCTCTTTTGAAAGAGAACGAAGTTTGTCTTCAGGTCTGCTAGAAGAGAACATTCGTAGCTCAGGGTTAAACTGCGGGGTGCTTGGTGCTCTCTGAGCTTGGTAGTTTTCTTGAAGACATTTCATTACCACACTAAGTAACATCATCAGTGCTACAAGGGAGTGGGGTTTGCTGATATTTTTTATATATTCGTCCCTTGGTAATTCCCTGCTTAGGCTGTTGTTTACTACCGGTATTAGTTTGTTTGTCTGCATTGGTGGTTCCTTGAACGAGGGATTGTTCACTTGATTGCTGGTCTAGTCAGATCGGACATGTGGAAGATACACATTATAAAAGCACCCAGCATGTTCCTTCCTGCTCACTCCATATTCTTCCTCCATGGTTGTGTCCTCAGTTAGGCTAACAGAGGGAGCAGAAATCAACAATAAGAAAGCTTTGCTTTCAGCTAGTCCTGCAAGGAAATGTCAGGGCTAGCCCTGAGAGACTCTGATCAGTAGCATCCAATCCTCGACTACCATTAAGCCCAAAATTCCTGTTGTTAAGCGAGACAATTGTTCATTTTACGACCTTTCTTGCCACAGTTGTTAAGTGAATCATTGCAGTTGTTAAATTAGTTAATATAGTTATTAAGTGAATCTGGCATCCCCATTAACGTGGCTTGTCAGAAGGTCGCAAAAGCTGATCACATGACCCCGGGACATTGCAACCATCATAAGTATGAGTCAGTTGACAAGTCTCTGGATTTTGATCACGTGACCATAGGGAAGTGCAATGGTTGTGAAGTGTGAAAAATGGTCATAAGTCACTTTTTTTCTGTGCTGTTGGGACTTCGAATGGTCACTAAAGGAATAGTTGTAAGTTGAAAACTACCTGTACACAAAATATCATCAACACCTCCAAGTAATAAAAACAGTAAAGAACGGGCCCATATAAAATCCCTTATCTATAAAAAAAAAACAGATGTAGCACTTTTTCATAAGAGTATTGCATATATCAGGGGCCTATATAGGAAGTCTTTTAGAAAACACCAGTCAAACGTTATACAGCCAGATGCTCTGTGGAAGCAACATTTGCACTCTCTTCTGCAAGTCAAAACAGCCGTGGAGAGTAAGAGGCAAAGACTACCGGGGGTCCTGGACTTACAACCACAGCTGGGACCCTTGTTAGATGAGTCGCACCCCCTCCTTCCTTCTGAAGCCCCCGTGATGTGCTCTCACCTCGGAGATTCAGGTAGGAGAGAAAATCCATCAGCGTCTGGAGGATGCTGTAGTCAGAAGGTTGCAGAACAGGTGCTGAAAGAGGGAGGAAACGGCATGAAGGGCTAAATCATGGAAAATACAGGGAGAGCTCAGAGAAGCCAGCAAAAAGGCGCTCACCCACAGACTCCTGACCCACAGAGTACAAGTCCTCGGCTACATCTCGCTTCCCAGCCAAGGATCCTTTATCAGGCAACGTCTGGTGGGCATCTGCTTTGGGGAGAGGAGAGTGGGAAGGAAGAGGTGCTGCAGGTTATATGGAAAAAAAGAGAGATGGTTTACACCGGACTTATAAACCAGGAGCCCCTTATTAACCGAACGGCCTGGTGGTGTTTTATAATCACCCCACTGCCAGGCAGCCACCAAGGAATTTGATGAACAGGAAATGAATCCAGATGAAGCTTTCACAGGTAGTTCTCGGCTTACGAGCCCCAAGTGAGCCCCTAAATTTCTGCTGCTAAGTGAAACATTTGTTAAGTGAATTTTGCCCGACCTTTCTTGCCACAGTTGTTAAGTGAATCAATGCAATTGTTAAGTGGTTCAGTGAATCTGGCTTCCCCATTGACTTGGCTTGTCGCAAAAGGGGATCCCATCACCCCAGGACATAAGTATGAGTCAGTTGCCAAGTGTTTGAATTTTGATCACAGGGGATGCTGTAACCGTTGTAAAAGTGGTCATCAGTCACTTTTTTCAATGCTGTTGTAACTTTGAATGGTCGCTGTTGTGTTTGCCATTCGCGTGCGAATGATGAAGACACATGGTGACAACTAATCAATGCTTTATTCTTTTACTCCAACTCCCAGCAAAAAACAAAAGGCATGCAGGCCTTTTATAGGGCTTGAAACCCGGACAGAGTGAACCAAGAAGATGTCTTCTTTCTTCACGCCTTGCGCATGCGCACAACGCTGGCGCCGCTCTGTCTGGTCCCAGGCAACTTTTAAAATGCCCGGGACCATTTGCAACAATTCTGGGCCTGCTGAATTTCCTCATCAGGCCCAGGACACAACACCCCTTCCCCCTGGATAGAACACACATAATTCCAATTTCTTTACAATCATAATAAAATAAATCAAAAGAAAATAATAGTCTGCTCACATGCAGACACCCTTCTTCTGCTAACTTAGTCAACCAACTACTCTCTAATGTGGACTTCACGTGTCTATCTTCTACCCCACAAAGGTCCCATCTCCTCAACCTAGACCTGTAAAGTCCCTTGTACTGACAAGAACCTCACATATTCACCTAGATGCTTAGGAGGGGCCTTAGCCCGTTGTGACCTACGCAAGGTTAGGGAGGGTACCTGGCCTGTCAGCTCACCTGCCCGGCTAAGCAGACCAGGACTTGTTCTTAAGGGCGCATGGCCTACCGGCCCGTTTGTTGGGCTCGCTAGACCAGGACTTTTATGCACAAGTTTTGCAGGTGACCCCTGGTTAGGTGTGCCAGCAGAATTGCCAGAGCTCTCCCCAGGCTCCGTGAGAGCAGCTGAAATTCCCCAACCCTCTGAATTGGCTGAGGATTCCCCAACTACTCTGGATGGCTCCAGGGAACTTAGTCCTTTGAGCCCGCGATCAGTCTCGGACGTGACCTGCATTGCAGGTGTGCCCCAATACTCCCAGTCCCCTGTGGCCGAGGTGCCAGAGTCAGGAGCTGCCTCAATGGCAAACCCCATCTCAGGTGAATTCCTGTTTGGAGCTCTTGCGGATACGCATGACTCCCTGTTCGGTGCAATAGCTGAACTCTGAGGATGTCCTTGCATCTCCCCTGGGAAATCCCTAGCGACCTGCGGTATGTCCCAGGAACAGTGAGATTGTGTCTCAGAAGGTTGACCTGAAGTGCGACGTGGTTCCTGGGGCCCCTCCCCCCAAGAGCAGAGGCAGGGCGGAATCCACAGGGGACAACCTCCAGTGTAGTTCATCGATGTGACGCCACAGGACACGGCCATCTCCCAAGGTCACTTCATATGATAGAGGTCTAGAGATCTTACAGATGACAGCAGGAACCCACAGCTGATCAGGAGCATAGTTCCTAGCCCAGACCGGATCACCCAACTGTAGTCTCCTCGGTGCCCACGGATGCGACACCTGTGAAGCCACCCGGTCTGGGTGCAGCCTGTCCAATTTAGTAATGAGTCTACGACGCCAGCAAAGTTCAGCTGGGCTCTTCCCTGTGGACATGCAAGGTGTGGTGCAGTGTGAAAGAAGAAAGTCAGCTAACCTGTGATGCCAGTTACCATAAGCCAATTTCTTGAGGGCATCTTTGATGGTGCGCACCATCCTTTCTGCCATTACGTTGGAGGATGGATGGAAAGGAGCCGAAGTTGCATGGCGGATCAGGTTGGCCTGAAGAAAAGCCTGGAACTCAGAAGAGGTAAAGAGGGCCATTATCCGAAACCAGAACATCTGGAAGACCGTGTGATGCAAAAATGCCTCTCAACACCTGGATGGTCCTGGCAGTAGTAGTGGAGGAAACAGGAACAACCTCTAGCCACTTAGAATGGTATCAACAATAACCAGGAAGAATTGCCCCTGAAAGGGCCCAGCATAATCTATATGCACCCTAGACCATGGGGTTTGAGTTTCCTCCTACCTATGCACTGGGGCTTGAGGCATTTCAGGCTGAGACTGTTGGCACACTTGGCACCCGTGCACCTGGGCCTCGATGGCTTTATCGAGTCCAGGCCACCAAAGATGGCTGTGCACAAGCGCTTTCATCCTGACTATCCCAGGATGTTCCTTATGCAGAGAGATCAAGATTCTAGACCTCAATGAGGCTAGGATCACTACCCTGCTACCCCATAACAAGCATCCCCTGAAAGTAGAAAACTCATGCTTCTTGTGCCAGAAGCTTTGGAACTCAGTATCTGGGCACTTGTCAGGCCATCCAGACAACACCCATGTCAGCACGCGTGTAAACGTGTGATCAGTGGCAGTTTCTGCAGCCACATCCCTAGCATTGAGGGGAGACTTAGGCAACTCTTGAATTGACAGAATATTAATAGCTGGAGCAGGATCTGGCTCTACTTGGTTCAGCGGTAGTCTGCTCAGGCCATCTGCATGACCCATTTCCTTTCCTGGTTTGTGGACTAATGTGTAATCATATGCTGACAGGAAAATGGACCATCTCAGCATACGAGGAGAAATGATATGTGGGGACTGTTTGTTAGTGGTAAACAAACCCAGTAGAGGCTTGTGGTCAGTATAGACCGTGAAATGGTGGCTATATAAAAAAATCATGAAATTTCTTAATGCCAGCCACTATGGCCAAGGCTTCTCTGTCAATTTGAGTGTAATTTTGCTCTGCAGAAGACAGAGTCCTTGAATAATAGGCCACAGGGACCTGTGTCCCATCAGCCTTCAGGTGGCTAAGTACAGCTCCCACCCTATAAGGAGATGCATCGCAGGCGATGCAAACAGGCAGTTGCTCATTGAAATGTGTTAAAACAGCATTAGACATGAGCAAGGCCTTAATCTCATTGAAACTCTTGTCATGGACTTTAGTCCACTGCCAAGGAGCCTGCTTGTCTAAGAGCCTGGGTAATGGCTCTGCCACAACAGCCTTATGTAGGAGAAAAGCATGGTAAAAATTTAATAGCCCCAAGAAGGCTTGCAGCTCACTCTTAGATTTAGGGCTTGGGGCCTGCTGGATGGCTTGCAATTTAATTTCAGCAGGGTGAATGCCTTGAGCATCTATCCTGAATCCTAAGAAGTCAGTAGAAGTGACTCCTATCTTACATTTATCCTTCTTTAGTTTGATAAATATACATCAATATGATAAATCTTCAGTCAGTTAAAGATACAGATGGTGAGAGTCGGAAAGAGATAACATTAAGGAAGTAAGATAAACAATAGAGGTAAAAATAGCTGGGTTTGAGAAAGGAAGAAGAAAGCTATAAAAATATATAGGAAATGGCTAGCCAGGAAGTATAGGAAAGCAGGAAACCATGCCAAATAAGATAAGAAGAGAGGCACAATGAATGGAGAACAGGAAAAGAACTTATTGTTTAAATATATCTGAGTTTAAAAATAACCATAAGAAAATATTTTTTCTTATTCTTATTGTATAAGTGAATATGATTTAGTATGTTATCAGGAAATGTGTATAGGCGGACGGAAAGAGTGTAACCTCATACTACCTCAGCCAATGGGGAAAGAGGAGGGCTGTAGCGGCCGGTGAGAGGGATGAATAAAAGAAGGAGATATTTTGGGTTAAAACTTTGGAGAGAACCAAGCTTTGAAAGCTTCTCTCCCCGCTTATTGCAATAAACGAAACAAAAGGCCTTCACTGTGTCTTGGCTGGTTATTGGTCAGGCGAGCTTGCCTCTGGTCACGAAGGAAAGTAGCCAGGAGCACATAACAGCCTTGGGGGCTCGTCCGGGATTTGCATTCGTTCCATCTTTGGCAGCCGGGGATATTCGAAAGGGGAGTGCGCACCTGGGTAAGTTTTTCCCAGCCCTAAAGGTCGGATTGCCCCTGCTCAAACAAGGAGGAATTGGAGATCCCGAGATGAAAGCCAGGACCCAGTGAAAACCTAAGGGAAAGTCGGCCGACCTAAGGAAGGACTTCAACTCAGCCTGACAGGTAAGATACCAGAGGGGTATCTGTATATCAGAGAGGTGTTAATGGGCAATAAGAGTTTGAAGAGGAGGGACGCCTCCCCGGCCAGTGTGCCGGCCAATAAGGAAAAAAAAGAGGAAAGGTATTTACATTCTGGAATGAACCCCCTTAGGGAGATGGGAATCCTTTAGGGAGAATGTTGAAGTGTTTTAAGTCAATGCTTTAAACAAGGCATTTGAACAAAGGAAGGGATGATACATTACAGTATATACCTGGCCTAAGTACATGTTTGGCCAGCCAATAAATTAAATTGGGCTTCTCAGCTTGGCTTAGAGCAATGGGGAATGGATAGGCAGTGGTTAAAGTCTATCAGAAACACTCCTTGTATTTCCCCATTGCCTAGAGAACAAGCTACAAGAGCCCTAAAAGAGTAAAAGTGGAGATTTAAAGTGGAAATGATGTTTAATGGTCTGTGTGTTTGTGTGTTTGTATTGACTCGTTTCTAAAAACCTGGGGGAGGGGAGGGAGAGACCCTCTAACAGTAATATACAAAACAACAAGGTCTTAATGATTGTTTTGCCTGGGGTGAAACATTTGGAATTTTTTGTGTGATGTAAAAGCAAGAAAGGGTGAAGAAGGGTAGTTTCTTAGTAATTA